CATCAAAATTTGTAATAAGAGTTCATAAAAACTTCATACCTTAACAATAGGTAAGGTACTTATGCATACACCTTGTATGCAGGTAATTAAACCCATAAATTACCTATGGTCCAGGTAATTAAATCCATAAATTACCTCTAGTCTAGGTAGTTATACCCTCTAACCCAGCTAATTGAACTCATATAATATCTTGGTATGGATCTTTAAACTCAACTGAGATAAAAATTCATACAAAATTTCTTTGGAAAAAAAAAAAATTACACTATTACATGGAAGACATGTACGTATGTATATAAATATGAACCTCCAGAAAAAACTGCTTAAGAAAATTCAAGAAAAAAAACACTTACCTGTAAGGTAGGTAGATATATACATGTATGTATTAACATTATTTACCTGTATGTCAGGTACATAATTTAATGTGGGTGCTTGTCTGATCGATTGGTATAATATGTGAGTCTTTACTTTTTATTGATTAAATTGTATTTTATCTATATATTAGGAATATTATAAAGGAAAAAAAAATTCAAAATTCAAATTTTGGAATTCAATTTCAAGGAAATAATGCATTAAATTTAGATTTTCAATGTGTTTTCCTTATTTACCTTAAAGGGTAAAATCGACATAACAAAAAAGTAATAAATGTCAAAGGACCTACATCTAAAACCAAAAACACGAGGACTAGACCCAATGACAGCTAATCGTTTTGGACTTAGATCTAAGAACCCCTTTAATTTATTGCAAGAAGTTTTGAGATCAATAGTCTAATTTTAATACGGTATCAGAGCTGAAGATCGAGAGTTATTTAAGTAAAATTTAGGCAGAGAAAATCAACTTTGCTAAAGTATAAACTGTTTATTTTACATAGCAGTCAAATGTACATTCATACACTGGGAGTAGAATCCACTTCAACACAATGCGGAATAATCATACCATGAGCAACATGGTACAAATTGGCTAGAATGCCCGGTCTCCTGCATATAAGAGCTGAGATTAATTGGTAAATTTCATTGATATGTTTACAAGTACAGGTCTATGATTATATACAGTTTGAATACAATCATAATTGAATGACTAAATCAATCCTAATCAAATAGAATAGGAAAGACAACTTAGCACATATCATAGTTGACTTTAATACGGAGGAGCCGATTGTGTGGTTGATGGAGCAGATTGTGTTGTTGATGATGAAGTGATCTCCTTTGATGTAGGATATTACCTAATACGCCCCTGCAAGACGGTGGCACCATCGGAGACACCGATCTTGGAATGAAGGAGATGGAAATTGGGATGCGGCAAGGGTTTGGTGAGAGGATTGACTATACAATGGCAATATGTGTAAATATTTTTAAACCAGTGGCCAAGACTTTGCATACTTGGCTGGCCTGTTGAGTCCCTGGAGGTGAATTGCATTCATAGTGCAAACTCAA